TGCATTATTGTTCTTCAGCGGACTAGTTGCTATTCTGACCTCATCTTGGATAAGTCATCTATATCGTCATCTCTAATTGGGTTTGGGTATCTTATTCACAGTTACTATTTGATACCAGAAGCATTCTGCAAAGCTTCTCCTACCAGATCCTCAACTCGCTGCCTGTATCTGTCGCCAGGTTGTCTTCTTCATCCCTTCAGGAGAATGGACCGCACCAAAGCCGTCGGTTAGATGTTTTACTCGTTGGTGAATTTCGTTGCTATTGTGTTTCTATATTATTATCGGGACAAGGAGTGCTTGCATCAAGTAGGTGTGTATCTTTAGCGGAGTAGACTTCTGCTACCTGTTGTGTTTGCAGCTTTCTTAAGTCGAGTTGCCTTTCGTCTATCACAACATGATAAATTTGATTTCTCGTTGTTTGATCAGGAGAAATCCAGGTGGCATCGCGTATACCGAGATGCTTGAATCTGGTGCTGCTAACTACCATGTTTTTTTTTGCTGCCTCGAAATCAAGTAACATCATGCTTCCTCATGAAGACTGAATTTTTAGACGGAGGGGCCAAACACCATTTTTAGTAATTCGCTAATCATTTTATAATATTTTTTCCAGAAAATTTGAGTTTCAGAATCTAGTGCTAAGCAGTGCTTGAGGATATTTAAATGCTTATAGCATCAATCAACGCATTGAAATGTTTCCTGTCCAGAATTTTTTGACCGTCTGCGACAGTTCAGAAATATAAAGGTTATTGCCGCTAATATAAAGTCGTTGAAATTTCCATGTAAAAATAAATAAAAATGACTTCTTCAAACATAGCATGCTGATTATAAAATTTACAGATATAAATCTCACCTTCAACCAAATAGGCTGTATTTTGGTATTTTGTGGGGTTGGAGCAACCCTAAAAAATTAATCCGATATATCCAATTTTCAATACTAAGCAGTATAGGGGTAATATAAATGTGTGTGCAAAATTTAAAATCTATGTCTTAAGTATTACACCTTGTAGTGGTTTTTCTTTTTGAGATCAGATGTCTTCAGTCAAATCGAATAAGGAATATTTTTGTAAAAAAAGACGAGATTTGTTGTTCTCCAAATATTCAACAAAAATGTCACTTATAAGATTTTAAATAGGGTCATCAAAGAGAAGAAATGTGTAATCGTATATTTTCATCGTCCTTTTCCCATTTTACCCGATTCCGACCCAGAAACCCTTATATGTAAATGATGCTTAGCTATATCAGAATAAGAATAGGTATTTTCTTAAAATATCTATTGTGATTCTTATAGACAAATGCAATACCAAATTTAGAATACCTCGCACCTACACGCAATGACGAATGAATAAAAAAATACTTCAAGCAATAGAAGAAGATAGCACCTAATCTGAAAGTTTCCACAGGCACGTACTTTCCCTTTTGAGAAAAAAAAAGAAAATTAAAACTTTATTCTTTTTTGGCTGCGTAAGCATTAAAATTGCGAACGGCTCCTTGAAAGGATGAGTGAACAGTTCCAGTTGGCGAAGAACATTACAAGAAATGCATTTCTAATAAGCCTCAGTTAACAAACAATTTTCTACTGCAGGCAAGAAAAAAAATCTGACAAAAGCGCTGATGTTTGCAAAGACATTACAAGTGGAGGACTTGGAAATTTGCTGGACATTGCATACAACCAGGACGAACAAATGCGTTTTTTGGGAAGACACGTTGAAGAAGTATCCATGGCGGCGTGAAAACTTAAATTGAATTTTCAACCATTGTTGCTTGTATGTTTCAGGAAGAATGTACAGTGGTTTTCGGACAATCTTTTTGTTTACCAATAAGTTTTCTATGAAAGACATAAATTAGCATGGGATTCAGATTTAGTTTCTTAAGAAAATATTCATAAAAATCTGTTCCAAAATTCAGGCTCTTCATACTGGTATTTATACAACGTACAATTAAAAACTTCAAAATAAATAAACCACTGTAACCTATTTGCTAGTCAGAGTACATTTATTCAAAAAAATTGTTTCCAAAATCATACACATTTAAAGAAGCTTGAGAGCCCAGGGCAAAACAAGTGTGTGAAATGTTTGAAAAATAATATGACGGTTCATTGGAAAAGCATCAGTTGGATTGTCTAAGAATATTTTTCTATTATGCCCTTAAGGTGTACAATCTGTCTAACATATCCTTTTTGTATATTTGCAGATATGTTCATTCATTAAAATGGCGTGTTGCTACCAATCAAAAGTTCAGTATACCGAAAAAATGCTACGTCTGATGAGGATTTACCAATTTGTGGTCATAGCTGTTGCTATTCCTCTTTATGTGGTCAATAGCAAAACACCAAAGGAAATAAAGGAACAACAGTTGTACAAATACCAGAGAAAAGTATTTCGAGTAATCTGTCTAAATAAGTTTGTGCTTCGAAATTACATTGTCGTCGCCTCCACTGAAGACAAAAAACATTCTGTCTGCATTAATGGCCTCGAGGGAAATTGGTTTTGGTAGAACATATTATTTTAAACGAATTCTTTAAAAAATCCAAGCCTTGAATGTTCATGGGAAAAATATTCTTAAAAAACTCAACGCCTTGAATGTTCATGGATGGTCCTAGAAAAAAATATTCTTTAAAAAATCCACGCCTCTTTTGGTCATGGAAAATATTTTTTAAAAATCTACGCCTTGAATGGTCGTAGAAAAATTTTATTTAAAAAATCTACGCCTTGAATGGTCATGGAAAAAACATTTTCTAAACCAGAGAGCGTAGCAGTATAGTCGGACGAGGCCGACCATACGATACCCTACACAACTACCACGGAACTCTAACTTTCTGCTGGTGTCTATTCCGAGCCTGGACAATATTTTGTGATATTTGCACCCTCTTGCCCCATTAGAGGTCAACAGCACCTTTTCCTTACACTTACATATTTTCCGAATATTACTAATATTCAGTACAATCCTTCTAATTACTTGTCCATATTCCCTTCAGCGCGGGTTGTGTGGTGTCGTTCGGCTTATATTTGTGGCCTATAGATCGACTAGAAAGAAAACAACAAAAAAACCAGTGAGCGGAGCCGTATAGTCGGACGGGGCCGACCATACGATACCTTACACAACTACCACGGACCTCAAATTTTCTGCGGATGTTTATTCCGAGCCTGGGCAATATTTCGTGATATTTTTACCCTCTTGTCCGATTAGAGGTAAACAGCACCTCTTCCTCACACTGACATATTTTCGGAATATTACGAGTATTCAGTACAGCTACTGTCCAGATTCCCTTCACCGTAAGTTGTGTTGTGATGTTCGGTTTTCATTTGTTGTCTATAGATTATTATGTCATTCCAAAATTATTATCTGATCATCACCGAAGATTATAGGCGTTGTCCTTGGCCATAACTGGAACCTCATGGAACATTTCAAAGCGATCAGCGCTATAGTTCCGCTCTCTAGAGTGATAATGGGTTACTAAATAATATACGAATACGTAGATACCTGTAAATATTTAGGTGTAACTCCCACATCCGGGCACGTACAACAAGATAATTGGTATTAATTTAAAGGTCAACCACACCTCTTGGATATAATATCAACTTCTCGGGTCTATGTCCTTCAGAGGTAAATATATACGCTATAGAATACAAAATTTGTCATTTTTCACACAAAAGTCAGGGTCCATTTGACCCGCTAAATATTGACCGATCTTTATCAAAACAGGCATGCTTATTCTCTGGCCCGATCCGCTTCTCCATGCAAAAATTCGGTGTTTGGGCCATAATTGCGGCCTCTGGAGCGACCAGGAAAACCGACAAAAATTAAGTATTTGGTCCATTTCATCCCCTAAATATTAACCGATCTTTTCCAAAAACAATAGGGGTCTTCATTGGCCAGAGCCCATCCTACACGAAAAATTTCGTGAAGATTGGTCCATAACTGTGGCTTGTATCGTGTTTACGAATTATAATGGACAGACGGACGGACGGACACACATGTCTAGATCAACTCACATAGTAGAGATATGACGATCGGTCTTCATTGACCAGAACCCATCCTACATGCAAAATTTCGTGAAGATTGGTTCATAACTGTGGCCTATATCGTGTTTTCAAATTATAATGGGCAGACGGACGGACACACATGTTTAGATCGACTCAGCTAGTCGAGATATGACGGTATACTTAAAGGTGGGTCTAGGACCAACATTTCGGCGTTACAAACTCTTGGGTCTGCACAAAGCTATAATACCCTGACAACATAGTTGTGTAGGGAAAAATATTTTTGTCCCGATTATCTTCCATATGCCCTTTTAATTTAAGAATTCCAAAAAAAAATATTCATACCATTGGAATAGAGTCTAAATAACACACATTTATTACCTGGAAGAATATTTTTGTTGTGAACTTTCGCCATAAATATTAATTTAATAAAAAAAATTCTAACAATATTTTTTTTTTCAAAAGGTCCAGATTTCGTTGTAACAAATTAAAATATGTATTATGATCAGCATAATATATTTGATCTTGGCGAATAGATCGGGTTAGTGACCCACCTAACATCAAATGACACCAACAACAACAGACAATGTCTCTGTGCCGCTAACTTGTAAATTTACATTACAACAACCAGTTAAGCGGTCAAGTCGATAAATTAGTGAATTAATTCAAACGTTTGTAATCAGCGACTGTTTGCCAGACATTTATGCTGATCTCGATCTCACTGTTCTGGATCAATATGCCGATTGTTCTTGTAAATCCGTATTAGCATAGCAGCAACAGTGTAAACTTTCTTCGGAACTTTGACATGGGGTGAGAGGCTGAGGTCATGTGTGTAATGTGATGGGCTTTCTTTCGCATCGTTTACGGCCAACGTTTTTTGAATATAAGCCCACCGGAGAAAGGTAACAATCATCATTCACTCATCGTCTTTCGATCATCAAACAATCGAATAGCGAAAGTTAACTAATTCTCTTAAAATTGAAGGATAACATTTCGCTGGCTATAGTGCAAAGACGCGAAATGAATTTCAAGAGCTGTTTAGTTATTTTGTTGCTGGGTACAGCCGCTACCCTGCAATTGGCTGGTAAGTAGTGAAACACAAAAACACCTTCATATTTTTTTTAACCCCGCAACATTATAATTTGTTTGTGTCTTTGCAGGTGCCAAGGAAATCAAGGGCTACAAACTCTATGCCAAGAATCCACAACAAGCTGAAGGTCGTTATATTGATATTGCCAATAAGTTGGCCTTGTTGAAGGGATCCACCACCACTACCACAGTTCTTCCACCTTCTCTACCCCCAACACCAACTACAACCACCACTGGCACCGGCACCGGTACTGGAACTGCCACTGGTACTGCTACAGGAACTGCAACCGGCACTGGTACCTCTCCAACTGCCACTCCTCCACCACCACCTCCAACCACCGCTACACCACCTCCTCCTCCACCACCACCAACAACTGCTGACTCACCAACCACAGCTGACTCACCAACTGCTGACTCTCCAACCGCTGCCTCCCCTACAGCTGACTCACCAACCGCTGCTTCCCCAACAGCTGACTCACCCACCGCTGCCTCTCCAACTGCTGCCGAACCCACAGCAGCCTCACCAACAGCTGCCGAACCCACAGCAGCCTCACCAACAGCTGCCGAACCCACAGCAGCCTCACCAACTGGCACCGGCACCGCTCCAGCGCCAACAGCCAGAGGAAAGGAAAATGCAGTAGCCCATAATGAAGATGACGATGATGAAGATGAAACCGAAGAAGATAACGAATTGATTGCCGAAGAAAACGACAATGCCTTAGCTGGTAGCGAAGAGGTCGGCCGTGCCACCAACTCCAATGTCCTCTTGAGACGTCGCATCCGTATGCAACGCCGCAAGCGCATCAACCAAATTCGCAGACAGAGACGCCGCATCATCCGCAGACAACGCAAACAACACCGTGCCACCCAGAAACGCCTTCGCCGCATCACACAAAAACTCCGCCGCCGTCTGATGACCCAAAGAGTCAGGCTCCAAAGACGTGGCTCCAAGAGGACCCAAAGGATCGTCAAGAGACAAAGACGCATGCACAAGCGCCATTTGCGCCAACAACGCCGCAATAGAATGCGCAAATTGCGCCAACAACGCAAACAACAAAAACGTTTGATCCGCCGCATCCGTCAATTGCGCAAACGCACCCAAACCATGAAAAGCCGCAGACAAATCAAACAGCTTAGAACTAGATTGCATCGCTTGAACAAGAAGATCGCCAACAGACGCCGTTTTAGACGTCGCAATTAAGTAAGACAATCGATTGGCCCCAAATAAAGATGAGAAACATTACATTAAAAAATATTAGTTTCTTCTTAAATAGCTTAGCGAGGTATATGGGAGGGATAAAGAATGTCAAGGATAATTTATCCTTGAAAAAAATAATCTTTAAAAAATCCACATCTTGTCCGGCACTTGAAAAAATCCACGTCTTGTCCGGCACTTGAAAAAATCCACGCCTTGTCCGGCACTTGAAAAAAATAATCTTTAAAAAATCCACGCCTTGTCCGGCACTTGAAAAAAATAATCTTTAAAAAATCCACGCCTTGTCCGGCACTTGAAAAAAATAATCTTTAAAAAATCCACGCCTTGTCCGGCACTTGAAAAAAATAATCTTTAAAAAATCCACGCCTTGTCCGGCACTTGAAAAAAATAATCTTTAAAAAATCCACGCCTTGTCCGGCACTTGAAAAAAATAATCTTTAAAAAATCCACGCCTTGTCCGGCACTTGAAAAAAATAATCTTTAAAAAATCCACGCCTTGACCGGCACTTGAAAAAATAATCTTTAAAAAATCCACGCCTTGTCCGGCACTTGAAAAAAATAATCTTTAAAAAATCCACGACTTGTCTAAGGCCTCGGAAAATATTCTTTAAAAATTCCACGCCTTGTCCAAGGCCTCGGAAAATAATCTTTAAAAAATCCACGACTTGTCAGGGACTTGAAAAAATAATCTTTAAAAAATCCACGCCTTGTCCGGCACTTGAAAAAAAATCTTTAAAAAATCCACGCCTTGTCCGGCACTTGAAAAAAAATCTTTAAAAAATCCACGCCTTGTCCGGCACTTGAAAAAAAATAATCTTTAAAAAATCCACGCCTTGTCCGGCACTTGAAAAAAATAATCTTTAAAAAATCCACGCCTTGTCCGGCACTTGAAAAAAATAATCTTTAAAAAATCCACGCCTTGTCCGGCACTTGAAAAAAATAATCTTTAAAAAATCCACGCCTTGTCCGGCACTTGAAAAAAATAATCTTTAAAAATTCCACGACTTGTCCGGCACTTTAAAAAAATAATCTTTAAAAAATCCACGCCTTGTCCGGCACTTTAAAAAAATAATCTTTAAAAAATCCACGCCTTGTCCGGCACTTGAAAAAAATAACCTTTAAAAAATCCACGCCTTGTCCGGCACTTGAAAAAAATAATCTTTAAAAAATCCACGCTTTGTCCGGCACTTGAAAAAAATAATCTTTAAAAAATTCACGCCTTGTCCGGCACTTGAAAAAATAATCTTTAAAAAATCCTCGACTTGTCCGGCACTTGAAAAAATAATCTTTAAAAAATCCACGCCTTGTCCGGCACTTGAAAAAAATAATCTTTAAAAAATCCACGCCTTGTCTGGCACTTGAAAAAAATAATCTTTAAAAAATCCACGCCTTGTCTGGCACTTGAAAAAAATAATCTTTAAAAAATCCACGCCTTGTCTGGCACTTGAAAAAAATAATCTTTAAAAAATCCACGCCTTGTCTGGCACTTGAAAAAAAATAATCTTTAAAAAAGCCACGCCTTGTCCGGCACTTGAAAAAATCCACGCCTTGTCCGGCACTTGAAAAAATCCACGCCTTGTCTGGCACTTGAAAAAAAAATCTTTAAAAAATCCACGCCTTGTCTGGCACTTGAAAAAAAAATCTTTAAAAAATCCACGCCTTGTCTGGCACTTGAAAAAAAATCTTTAAAAAATCCACGCCTTGTCCGGCACTTGAAAAAAATAATCTTTAAAAAATCCACGCCTTGTCTGGCACTTAAAAAAAATCTTTAAAAAATCCACGACTTGTCCGGCACTTGAAAAAAATAATCTTTAAAAAATCCACGCCTTGCCTGGCACTTGAAAAAAAAATCTTTAAAAAATCCACGCCTTGTCTGGCACTTGAAAAAATAATCTTTAAAAAATCCACGCCTTGTCTGGCACTTGAAAAAAATAATCTTTAAAAAATCCACGCCTTGTCTGGCACTTGAAAAAAATAATCTTTAAAAAATCCACGCCTTGTCTGGCACTTAAAAAAAATAATCTTTAAAAAATCCACGCCTTATCCGGCACTTGAAAAAAAATAATCTTTAAAAAATCCACGCCTTGTCTGGCACTTAAAAAAAATAATCTTTAAAAAATCCACGCCTTGTCTGGCACTTGAAAAAAATAATCTTTAAAAATCCACGCCTTGTCCGGCACTTGAAAAAAATAATCTTTAAAAAATCCATGCCTTGTCCGGCACTTGAAAAAAAACAATCTTTAAAAAATCCACGCCTTGTCTGGCACTTAAAAAAAATAATCTTTAAAAAATCCATGCCTTGTCCGGCACTTGAAAAAAAACAATCTTTAAAAAATCCACGCCTTGTCTGGCACTTAAAAAAAACAATCTTTAAAAAATCCACGCCTTATCCGGCACTTGAAAAAAAATAATCTTTAAAAAATCCACGCCTTGTCCGGCACTTGAAAAAAAATAATCTTTAAAAAATCCACGCCTTGTCCGGCACTTGAAAAAAATTAATCTTTAAAAAATCCACGCCTTGTCCGGCACTTGAAAAAAATAATCTTTAAAAATCCACGCCTTGTCCGGCACTTGAAAAAAATAATCTTTAAAAAATCCACGCCTTGTCCGGCACTTGAAAAAAAATAATCTTTAAAAAATCCACGCCTTGTCCGGCACTTGAAAAAAATTAATCTTTAAAAAATCCACGCCTTGTCCGGCACTTGAAAAAAATAATCTTTAAAAATCCACGCCTTGTCCGGCACTTGAAAAAAATAATCTTTAAAAAATCCATGCCTTGTCCGGCACTTGAAAAAAAAACAATCTTTAAAAAATCCACGCCTTGTTTGGCACTTGAAAAAAATAATCTTTAAAAAATCCACGCCTTGTCTGGCACTTGAAAAAAATAATCTTTAAAAAATCCACGCCTTGTCTGGCACTTGAAAAAAATAATCTTTAAAAAATCCACGCCTTGTCTGGCACTTGAAAAAAATAATCTTTAAAAAATCCACGCCTTGTCTGGCACTTGAAAAAAATAATCTTTAAAAAATTCACGCCTTGTCCGGCACATTAAAAAAATAACCTTTAAAAAATCCACGCCTTGTCTGGCACTTGAAAAAAATAATCTTTAAAAAATCCACGCCTTGTCTGGCACTTAAAAAAAATAATCTTTAAAAAATCCACGCCTTGTCTGGCACTTGAAAAAAATAATCTTTAAAAAATCCACGCCTTGTCTGGCACTTAAAAAAAATAATCTTTAAAAAATCCACGCCTTGTCTGGCACTTAAAAAAAATAATCTTTAAAAAATCCACGCCTTGTCTGACACTTGAAAAAAATAATTTTTAAAAAATCCACGCCTTGTTTGGCACTTGAAAAAAATAATCTTTAAAAAATCCACGCCTTGTCTGGCACTTAAAAAAAATAATCTTTAAAAAATCCACGCCTTGTCTGGCACTTGAAAAAAATAATCTTTAAAAAATCCACGCCTTGTCTGGCACTTGAAAAAAATAATCTTTAAAAAATCCACGCCTTGTCTGGCACTTGCACTTAAAAAAAATAATCTTTAAAAAATCCACGCCTTGTCTGGCACTTGAAAAAAATAATCTTTAAAAAATCCACGCCTTGTCTGGCACTTAAAAAAAATAATCTTTAAAAAATCCACGCCTTGTCTGGCACTTGAAAAAATAATCTTTAAAAAATCCACGCCTTGTCTGGCACTTGAAAAAATAATCTTTAAAAAATCCACGCCTTGTCTGGCACTTGAAAAAATAATCTTTAAAAAATCCACGCCTTGTCTGGCACTTGAAAAAAAAAATGAAAAAATCTTTGAAAAAATCCACGCCTTGTCTGGCACTTGAAAAAATAATTTTTTAAAAAGCCACGCCTTGTCTGGCACTTCAAAAAAAAAATCTTTAAAAAATCCACGCCTTGTTGGGCACTTGAAGTAATAATATTTAAACCAGTGAGCAGTACAGTATAGTCGGTCGGGGCCGACCATATTATACCCTACACAACTTCCACGAAAATATAACTTTCTGTGGTTCTATATTCTGAGCATGGACAATATTTCGCAATATTTGCACCCTCTTGACCGACTAGAGGTCAACAAATTTCACTATCATTCAGTACATCCCTTCTAATAACTTGTCCATATTCCCATGGTGAAGGGTTGTGTTGTGATGTTCGGCTTTCAATTGTGGCCTATAGATCGACTCGAAAAAAAAACAACAAATAAGTTTTCGGTCCACTTCAACCCAATATTACTATCTTATCATCAAATGAGAATATAGGCGTTGTCCTTGACCACACCTGAACCCTCAAGGAAAATTTCAAAGCGATCAGCTCTATATTTCCTCACTCTTGTGTGGTAATGTTTTACTAAATAATATATGAATACGTACGTACCTGTAAATATTAAAGTGTAACTCCCATATCCGAGTACATACGACCATATAATTGGTATCAATTTAAAGGTGAAGAAATAATAAGGAAAGTAGTAAAGTCGGACTGGGCTGACTATATGATACCATTCACCAATTTGGGTATATTCTACATATGTATCCCGAAAGACGTCGCCTTTTCGAAGGGACATTGACATGGAATAGAACGAACTTAAATATATGATATTTATCTATATCTAAACCGACACACATGAATCCTACCACAATGTGGTGAAGGGTATAAAAATCCACGCATATAATGGTCACGGAAAAATATTATTTACAAAATCCACGCCTATAATGTGGGACTCCATATCACATTTGCCATAGCAAAAACAATAGACCTTCTTTAGTTAAAACCTCTCAAAAATAAAACATTCATTATATAGGATTGTACATCAAAACGTAGACAGAAATGTTCCAAATATCCTAGGAGTAGTAGCAATATATGCCTACAATTCCAATATATAATTTCATAATAATTTCAATATGTAATATCATAATAATTTCAATATTCTCTTTTGCATTTCTCTTCTTTATCTGCCCATCCAACGTTGCCAGTTTTT